GGCGATTTCAAAGCATTGCGTCCCAGTTGGTCACATTCCAGGCTCAGCAGGAAACAAGAGAATCGCATGTTTGGAGCCCGTGTTTTGTCGAAGCTGACATGCTTACTGCTTGCCGCGTGCTTGAACACAGCAGAACAGGTGGAGGCTCGGTTGTTTTCGACACCAGTGCTCGCGGAGGATCAAGCATACGTTAGTCGAGTGTCAAACATTGCCACTGGTGTTGTCGAAATCGCAGTGCAAGAGAAGCCCATCGAAAGCCTCCTAAGAAGACAGATGCTGGCCATGGCGGCGTAACCAGGTGACCTACAGCTCTGCCGGACGACCAGTCCGAAGAGGAGAGGCCGACCTCGACAGACGTGGGGACACTCCGTGATGCGCAATTGTTGCTCGTGCGCGCGTTTCGGTGATTGTTTCCGACCAGAGGGCGGTGCAGCGTGCGAACGGGAGTTGGTTGTCAGAAGTTGGAAGGTGCTGAAGGTATTCGACGAGTCTCCACTCTTCCTTTGCTCGCGCACCATTTCGTGCAAGGCTCTACCTAGAATGCCCTGGGGCGCCTTCGTGGCCATGACACCTTCCGCAGAACAGTTGTATTTTTCAATCCCTGACCTCCGCCGATACGATTCCGAGGTTCGAGGTTCGAGAGTCACTCTCTGGAGACTTGATATGCTCCCTGACGCGTAACGGATGTTACCTATCCCCCCCCGCAACGGTAACGATCATCCGTGGGGAGAGGTGGCGTGATCCCCCCCTTCACATGCTGGGCTTCGCGCGCATAGTATGGCGTCCCCCACCCCGCCTAAGCGCTGGCGTGCCCCACCCCGCCTAAGCGTTACTGTAACCCGCCCCCTCCCAGGGTAACGACGGTTACTGGACATGATAGCCCAAAACCGCAATACCATGTCCTGGAGGTTTTTGATCGCCTTGGGGTGCCTTTGTGACAACAGGTAGATTTGCCTTCAAGTTTTGGGCAGAACGCATCCCAGGAGAGGTCCAGGGGCAGATTTTTCACTCCGGGCCTCTGACGACATGATGCTTGTCAACCAGCGGATGTTCGTCGATTTCGGCCTCCGTGGGCCTGTTCGAAGGTAATCGTTGTTTCCTATCGGTTTTCTCGCTTCGGGGTGCTTCTAGGTAGATGCGCCTCGCCAGGAGATTTCTGGTGGTGCCCGGATCGTCCCGACTGGCCGCCCAGTCCCGAGTTATGTTTTTGAAACCCAGATCTCCGACGTCGACGACGGCGACGACGAAGACGAGAGGACGGGCGCGAAGGACGAGGTGCAGCAGGGGGGCGAGGAGGACGAGAAAGATGAGAAGAAGCATGAGGAGGAGGGGAATGGGAGGACGAGGAGGAGGAGGGTGAGGAGGAGGAGGAGGAGGAGGAGGAGGAGGAGGAGGAGGAACAGCAGGACGAGAGAGTGGGGAGGATGAGGGAGAACGAGGAGGAGGGGAGGAGAGGAGGAGGGAGGAGGGATGAGGAGGAGACGAGGAGAGGAGGAGGAGGAGGAGGAAGGAGGAGGAGGAGGGGCAGGAGGACGAGGAGGACGAGGAGAGGAGGAGGAGGAGGAGCAGGAGGAGGAGGAGAGGAGGAGGAGAGGGAGGGGGAGGAGGAGGAGAGAGGAGGAGGAGGAGGAGGAGGAGGAGGAGGAGTTTTAAACCCGCGTGCTCCCGCCCGTGAGTGGGTGCCCCTGGTCTCGGCACCCCGCGCAGGCAGAACGCGCCCGAGGCGGGGTGGGCCAGCGGCCTCATCTCACGGCGTCGTGCTGCCGCCACTCGATGACTCCTGGAGTCGCCCCGCGAGCGGCGGCAGTTTGAAGAAATGCTGCCGCCGCCCTCTCAGAGCTTGAGGAGCAGCCTGATGGACGGCCGCAGCCGCTCCTTCGCTCTGCGCTCTTCCAGGGACCGCCCTGGCCGCTGGTCCCTGGACTCGTGGGCCTTCACGGCCGCCTTGCCTGGCGCAGGGCTGTGGCCTAACCCCTCGCCACGCTGGGGTGCATTGCGGCCTAGCCCCTCGCCGCGCAGGGGTCCTCCGTGGCCTAACCCCTCGCCGCGCTGGGGATTGCTGCGGTCTGGCCCCTTACCTCGCTGGGGTCCGTCGTGGCCTAACCCCTCGCCACACTGGGGGTCGGTGCGGTCTAACCCCTCACCGCGCTGGGGTACTCCGTGGCCTAACCCCTCGCCACGCTGGGGGCTGCTGCGGTCTAACCCCTCACCGCGCTGGGGTGCTCCGTGGCCTAACCCCTCGCCACGCAGGGGCCTGCTGCGGTCTAACCCCTCACCGCGCTGGGGTCCTATGTGGCCTAACCCCTCGCCGCGCAGGGGCCTGCTGCGGTCTAACCCCTCACAACTATGGGGTCCGCCGTGGCCTAACCCCTCGCCACGCTGGGGATCGTTGCGGTCTAACCCCTCACCGCGCTGGGGTACTCCGTGGCCTAACCCCTCGCCGCGCTGGGGCCTGCTGCGGTCTAACCCCTCACCGCGCTGGGGTCCTCTGTGGCCTAACTCCTCGCCACGCGGGGGTCCTCTGCGGTCTGCCTCCTCGCCGTGCTGGGGTCCTTCCTGGCCAAAACCCTCACCATGCTGGGGTCTGCTGCGGTCTAACCCCTCACCGCGCTGGGGTCCTCCGTGGCCTAACCCCTCGCCACGCTGGGGTCCTCTGCGGCTGCCAGGTGGTACCCTGTGCTGTGCTGTACATCTGGGATCTGCTGGAGGTTGTCATCGCTGTCCTGCTTGTCTGCGGGCTGCTGGAGGCAATCCTCGCTGTTCTCCTCTTCTAGGAAGTGGTCGAGGTCTGCCATGTCCATGGTGCTCCGTCCTGCTGGTGGGGGACGGGCACCCCTCTGCATCCCGTCTGGCGCAGGGCTGTGGCCTAACCCCTCGCCACGCTGGGGTCCTCTGCGGCCTACCCCCTCGCCGCGCAGGGGTCCATGGTGGCCTGACCCGTCTCCACGCAGGGGCCTGCTGGAGGGTTTCTGCCGCTCCTCTGCCCTTCTCGCCTCCAGGGACCGCTCTGGCTGCGGTGCCCTGGGTCCCTGGGGCCTCTCGAGCTCGGGCGCTGGCGTTGCCGTGCGCAGCTCGGCGGGGCTGCTGGTGGCCCTGGCCTCTGGGCTCCTCCTCGGCTGTCTGGCTGAAGCCCTGCTTGGCACTCGCACTGCTGCTTGCGGTCGCGGGCTGCGGCTCCTCGCCGCTGGCTCAGTCACGCCCAGGAACTGCTCAGCCATCGCTCTGCGCCGCTCTGCCTCCTGCGGGTCCTGCTGCTGGATCTGCCTGCGCGCCTCTCCGCTGTTTAGCCATGCCGGGCGGCAGATCTCCTCCGCCGCTCGGCGCTGGCTGCGCTGGCGGCTCGGCCCTGGCACGTTGCTGAACAGCCTCTGGTAGACGCCAGTCTGCAGCGCCATCAGCACATGGGGCACGCACGCGGCCTGCCACGATGGCCAGCCCTGCTCGCCCTCTTTCTGGATCCAGCAGCCTGCCAGCGACTGCATGAGCTGCTCAAGCCTGTTCCTCTGGAGCCACGCCACCTCCTGCTCGGGGTCCTGGTCAGCATCTCCTTTGTTCTGTCGAAGCCTTGGGTGGAGCAGGCCGGCCTCATCGGCTTCGCTCACGAACTTCATCAGGTCGGGCCCCACTGGCTTGGTCAGCGTAACTGCCACCTGCACGGCCGTCTGCATCAGGCTGTTGGCGTCGTGGCTCTGATCGGGTCCTGCCATGGTCTCCATCTCCTGGTCGCTCGGCTCGCCCTCCAGCTCTGGGGCTTCACTGTCTGGGATCGAGTCATCATCGTCCAAGTTCTCTGGTGACCACTCTCGGCTGGCCTCCGCTGTTCTCGGCAGCGGCCTGCGCTCGCTGCTGGGGATGCTGTGCGCCAGGATGTTGTTCCTTCTGTTCTGGAAGGCGTCCATGTGCACTCTTGCTGCCTGCTGCCTTGTACCATACGGGAGGGTAAGCATCCTGGTCATGAGCCTCCGTCGCGTGCGGTGCGCATTTCTCTCCGACTCCGAGCCTCGGGGGCCCGTGATCGGGCCGGGGTGGCCATCGAGAGTGGGCCGAGGGAGGAAACGTAGCCCCAGGAGAGTCAGGAGGGAAACGAAACACACAGACGCAAAGCATCGTCGATCCCCAGGGAAGTCTGGAAGACATGGGAAGAGGGGGGGAAGACGAGGATCCAGGAGATGTGCAGAACACGTGGGATCCTGGAATTTGTGCATATTTATTTATATGTGTGTGTGTGTTTGTGTGTGCGTTTGTGTGTGCGTGTCCCCGGGCCCCTCCAGAAGGGGACGGGGCCTTCTTGGGCCGCGGTTTGAAACAAAGCACATCTGCGGACGACGGGTGCGGAAGTCATCGCATCGCCGATGCGATGCATCGGCGATGAGGCTCGATGTGGAGTCCGATTTTCTCTACGCCGACGTCGCCGGTGCATTCCTGGCGTCGCCGATGCATCGCCGAGGCATCGGCGACGCAGCGCGATCCTCTGACCCCGCCTACTCGGATTCCATATAGAACACCATTGGGTTAGGCCTCTAGTAAGGGGGTTATCAGTGGATGCCCTACCTGGCCAAAACTTATGTATAAGTGTGGTGCGAATGCCCCAAGTAGCTCGGGGGTGCTACAGGATCGCTACTCCCCTTCAAGGACATTCTGGAAGTGCTTAACCCACTTAGCTTTTTTTTAGGACGGGCATAACCCTGGCATCGCTCGGAGGTGTGCATGTCTTCCTTGTGGAGGACCATCGAGGAGCATCCTGGACCATCTTGCAACACAGATACACGCACCAAACCGAGAAATGCGCGGGGAATGGACGTCCGAGCGATGGCAAGCAACCCACCTTGGCATCCACCGATACTACCCCTATCCCTTCAGCACCCCTCGCGCGGATCCCAGAAAGGTGTGCGGCGCTGGCGTTCGAGATAGAGCAGAACATCAACGAAGACTGCACAGAGGTCCGCCTCACGGAGACCGAGCTGGCAGGCTGCGGCGCGGACTTCGTCAGTTCGCTGCCGATGGCGGCCGGCAGCGAGCCGGGCGCGCCGCCCGCGCGGGCGTGCTCGGTGAAGGCGCCGGTGCTGGTGCCGATCACGCGGCGCGCGGTGTGCCCCGAGGCTCAGCGGAGGAAGAGGTATTAATACCGCCGCCCCGTGCCTCGTTTGGGCATGTGTAGGCCTCATGCGAGGCCCTCGTCGCCACGTTTGGAGTGTTCCTCGAAGGCCTGGTCTGAGCGCATTCGTGGAGCCAGCAGCGGCGAAGCGTCCTGGCGTGCCTATAGGCCTACCAAACAATGTGCTAAGAACCTCATGTGGATTCCGCGAAATGTTCTTGGAACATTTCTCGCTGGGACTGCCTTGTTTTAACACCGTCGGGTGGATGCTCTAAGAACATGGTTTCTGTTCTTAGCACAAGTTGGGATTCTAAGAGCATGTCGTGGTAGGCCTATAGGAATGCCGGGATGGTCAGCCCCTGCTCCAGTGGAGAGGTCCGGGGCGGAGCGGCGCCGGAGCCTGTTGCCTCCCCGGAGGCGCGGCGGAAGATGATGGAGGCGAGCCAGCGGCGCTGTATGCCGGAGGGGGGCCAGGTCGAGAGACAGCGGCGGCCCTTCCCTGGAATGTTCCGTCGCGGGATGCCAGAGGGGCCGCGTCGCCACGGCCGGAGCCGCCCGGGGAACTGGGTGAGGATGGACCTGGGGGTAACATTCGGGGGCGGCCAAGAGGGGGGGTGATGACTGGGGGGGAGATAGCATGGCGGGGGGCCAGGGGGGAGATGTCATGGCGTGGGCCATGATCTCTCCCCAGATCTCGTGGCGCCTCTTCCTGTTTCCTTACGCCCACGCCCCCCCCGCCCCTGGGCCGCGCACACGTGCCGCCGGTCATGGTTTGCACCCCCCCCCCCTCTTGGACTCCCCCCTCTTTGCCGCCCCCGAAGCAGGGGGGATCTGCTCCACCGCACGGCGGATCACCGCCCTGAGCCGAGTTTTGGTCACGTTCGTGGGACAACCTCTCCAGCCGTCCCACAAGCGTTTGCCTACTCATGCCATCGCACGGATTGCTGCATCCGCCCCGCGGTGGTGGCATCTGAGACGAAATTTCTTCCTCGCCGCCTGCCCCCGCGCGCAACACTCGGCTCATGAAGGCCGTCTTGGGCGTGATTCCAAATATGCCGCGCTCGATCGTGCTTCGCATACTGGATTGTGGTACGCGAGGGATCTGGCGGCCGATTTTGCTTTGATTTGGGACGGGCGGGAGGGCGCGGCGGTTTCAGTTTCAAGTAGATGTGGCGCGCCTCGATTTGGCTACAGGCCCACCAGACGGTGTTGTAAACGTTTTGTGGTTTGCACGGCATGTTCTTAGAGCACTTCCGGGTGGTATGGCCTTGTTTCAACACATCGCCTTCATGTGATGACGGCATGGTATTAGAACGTTCTGTTGTTAGGATGCAACTCCTTGGAGGTTAAGTGTGAATCTGCGTTGGTATATACCTGGTCACAAACTGGCCGAATCTGGTTCAACCCTGCTTACGCATTCTGGGAAGATCCAGCCCAATACGTGTCAATCCCGTTTCATTCGGCATCCTCCCAGGATTACTCTGGCCCAGCAGGACCCAGTGGCCCCACCAATGGGCTCACTAGCTCACAATCTTTCTCAGGAAGACCTCACTCCTAACTAACTTTTGTTAGAAGAGCATTTCGTGGTAGGCGTATAGGAAGGCTGGGACGGTCGGCCCCTGCTACACAGCTGGCCTTCGTCCGAGCATGGGCAAGAACGGGCCGCTGCTGCTGGAGCTGCTGGGCAAGCGGCACGCTGCCGCGCGTGCGCTCGGCTTTGCCAGCCACGCCGAGCGGATGCTTTCGACGAAGATGGTCGTCAGGGGCAACGTTTAATCGGGGGCGGAAAATAGGGGGTGATGACTAGGGACTAGGGGGGGGGATATCATGGCGGGGGCCATGATATTTCCCCAGATTTCATGGCGCCTCTTCTTATTTCATTACGTCCCGGCCCCCCCCCCGCTGGGCCACGCACATGCCGCCGGTCATGATTTGCACCCCCCTCTTGGACACCCCCCTCTTGGCCGCTCCCGAGTTTAGAAGATCACATGCGGACCCTACCCCACATCCCCATGATTTCTACCGGGGGAGGTGGGGTTCCCTTTGTTCGGGACCTCCCGGGCAAAGTGGACACCGCCTCCCCCCTTAGGAATCAAGGGATGGTGGGGCAGGGCTTGCATGTGGCCTCCTCGTGTTAGGAAATTACGTTTCTATTGATTGAACCCGTCACGTCCGTGACGGTGGTGGCGACCCCCTCGTGGGAGACCGGTTATGCTTTCGTTCAGGGCTCCTTCAGGGTCCACCAGAGAATCTGGTTCAAGCAAATGTTATTCACAGCCCCACGGCGCAGGACATCTTCCGACAAATTCCAACAGAGCACTGGCTGGTTGGCTGGCTGGTTGGCTCACCGGTTTCCGGGACAAGCAAAATCTGTCCGAGGCGATAGGTTGGATCGTGGGTTGTTGGGTTGGTTGGTTTGTTGGTTGGATGGTGCGGTTGGTTCGATGGTTGGTCAGTTGTTTGGTTGGTGGTTGGTCTGTTCGTTGATTGGTTGGTTCGTTGGGCGGACGGTTGGTCGGGTGGCCGGTTGCCAGCTTGCCTGGGTGGTTGGCTGGTTCTCCCCTCCCCCCCCTCCTCTCCCCCGTTACCTCCCTTCTCAATCCTCCTCCTTCCGTACCTTCCTTCTTTCTCCTCCCTCCCTGTTCTCCTCCTCCCCTCTCGCCCACAGCGCATTGCATTGCAATGCATTGCAATTGCAGTGCCAATGAAACGCAGTGCAATGCAAGGCGACGCAACATGCTGTAATGCAACACAACGCGATGCAATGCAAGTGCAAACGCAACAATGCACATGCAAATGCAGCGCTGGTTGGTTGGTGGGTTGATGGGTTGATGGGTTGATGGGCTGGTTGTTTGGATGGTTGGTTGGCTGGCTAGGTGGTTGGTTGGTTTGGCAGTGGGTTCGTTGGTTGGCCAGCTGGTTGTTCGGTGGTTGGTCGGTTGGTTGGAATGTTGGTTGGTTGGGTGGCCGGTTGGTCAGTTGCCCGCTCGCCGAGGTGATTGCCTGGTTCTCCCCTCCATTTCTTCTCCCCTCCCCCCTTTCTCCCTCCTCACTCCTGCTCCTTCCCCTTCTATTCTGGGTCATGGATGCGGACAAGAATGCTATCCTGTCCTCCTCGTCCTCCCTCCCCTCTCCCTCCTGCATCCTCCCTCCTCTGTCCTTCCTCCCCCTTTCTCCCTCCTCCGCCTCCCCTCCTCCTTCTTCCTCCCTAAGCGCTCTTCCTTCTTCCTCCCATCCTCTGTACCGCCTTCCCTTCTCCTCCTGTCCTCACCCTCGGCCGCAGTTTACTGCAACTGCACAAGATGCACATTAAATTCAACGCGGTAGATTCAATGCCATGCAACAGGATCATTGGTTGGCCAGTTGGTTGGATGGTTGGTGTTTGGTCGGTCGGTTGGTTGGGTGGCGGCCACGTGGCAACGCTTGGGCACGCTGCAAAAATCCGAGCACCCCGCAGTCGCGGATAAGAGTAAGAGGGCGGCGGGGACGTTTGCAGTCTGCGAGGCTCTGAAGAGCTGACTTTCTGACAAATTACAAACGAGCCCGCCGCAGGCGCCGATCCTTCGTCAAATCAATGTGGGTGGGTCGCGGGCTGGGTCGCGGGCTGGTCGCGGGTTGGTCGCGGGTTGGTCGCGGGTGGGTCGCGGGTGGGTCGCGGGTGGGTCGCGGGCAGGTCGCGGGCGGGTCACGGGTGGGTCGCAGGTGGCTCGCGGGCATGTCGCGGGGTGGGTCGCGGGCAGGTCGCAGGTGGGCCGCGGGGTGGGTGGCGGGTGGGTCGCGGGTGGGTCGCGGATGGGTCGCGGGCGGGTCGCGGGGTCGGTCGCGGGCAGGTCGCAGACTGGGTCGCGGGGGGGACGACGCCACACAACAACAAACAAACAATCAAAGAAACTAACAAGCAAACACAACAACAACAACAACAATACCAACAACACCAAGAACACCATCAACAGCAACAGCAGCAACACCGATGACAGCACCAACACCAACAACGACAACGGCACCAGCAACAACAGCAACAGCAACACCAACAACAACAACCAACACAACACCAACAAGAGCAACAACAACAGCCACCTCAACAACATCAACAACAATAATAATCCGCATCGCGGAATCCCACGCACCCACCCAGGGACAGTGAATGGCCATTCGGCCCCCTCACTCTGCCTAACCCACTCTGTTCGCCACGTTGCACCGCCTGGGGGGAGGGAGCGACAAGCATACTCTTACACTCGATTCGTCACGTGGCAGCGCCGCTGGGGGCCGAACGAATTGCTGAGCCACTCCACGCGCCACGTGGCAGCGCCTGGAGGCGTGAAGAAACACAGTTTCGTCCGCTCGACCCGTCGCGCGGCAGCGCCGCGGGGGCGGGGAGAACAATTCGATTCCACTCCTGGTCGTCACGCGGCAGCGCTGTAGGCGCCGACAGCAGCTACTGTGCCACTCCACTCGCCGCGCGTCGACGCCCGAAGGCGCGCGAAGGACCACCGCTCCGTGCTGGTCGTCACGTGGCAGCGCCGCGGGGGCCCGACAGAGCCACTAATGCCACGACGAGGGCGACGAGAGGTTCTCTTTCGGGAATCTTCTCTCTTCCAGGGCCAGCAGCACTGTTCCACGTCAACTCTCTTTTCACGGCCCCACCGCGTGGGATATCCTCAGAAGGATGCCAATGGAGGATTGATTGGTTGATGGGTTGGTTGGTCTTCGTCGTGGCCTTCGCCACCGTCGTCGTCGTCCTCGTCCACGTCCTCGCCCTCGTCGTCGCCGCCGTCGTCGTCGTCTTCGTCGTCGTCGTTGTCGTCTTCGTCGTCGTCGCCGTTGTCCAGCACCTGGGGACCCCCCTGGGGCCCGATCACGTTACCGTTACCTTCCGACGGGGACTCGACCCCCCCCCGTTCTCGGACGTTACGGGGGGGAATCGTACACACATTCTATAGGGGAAAACAAGCTCGGGGGGGACGCATCGACCCCGAATCAGCAATTCTGGGGTGCCCTGGAGTTTTCTGAGCATCCTGGGGCGCCCTCGTAGCCGCGGCCGGGTCCGCCTATAGAACGCCTGGGCAGAGGATACCCGGCAGAGGTCCAGGGATCGACTGTTGAGTCTTGGCCAGGGGCAACGTTCGGGAGGAGCAGGTTCAGGGTGGCATGCGCCGACCCCCAGTCGCCCATGCATCGCCGATACGGCCTCGAGGCTCGAGGTTCGAGGCTTGCGGAGGTTCTCCAGCCTCGGGATGCTCTCCAGCCTCGAGGTTCGAGGTTCGAGGTGTTCGGAGGTTCTCCAGCCTCGAGGTTCGAGGCTCGAGGTTTTCGAAGGGTCTCCAGCCTCGGGATGCCCTCCAGCAGCTGCGCCTCGCCGACGGCGCTGCGCCGAGGGGCGCTCTCCGAGGGTGCCCGGAGCGTCCCCCGCGGCCGCGGGAGGCTCGAGCCACCGCCCGGAAGGCCGCCAGGGGCGGCGATGGGCTCCGAGGGGCTGCATCGACACTCAACTCCTCCTCCTGCTGCTCCTCCTCCTCCTCCTCCGCCTCCTCCTGCTGCTCCTCCTGCTGCTCGTTCTGCTGCTCCTCCTCCTGCTGCTCCTCCTCCTCCTCCTCCTCCTCCTGCTCCTCCTCCTCCTCCTGCTCCTCCTGCTGCTCCTCCTCCTCCTCGCCCGGAGGGCCGGGGCGGAGCTGCTGGCGCAGGCCCCGCGCCGATCTGTCGGCGAGGCCTCGCCGGCTCGAGGTGGCTGCTCCCCCCCCCCCCGAGCCGGGCGCCCCCCGTGGGAAGCTCGCCCGCAGGCAGAGACGCCGCAGCGGGCGCGGCACTTCTGCGAGGACATGCTGGCGAGGTCGCGGGCGAAGAACAGATCGGTTTCCGCGGCCTCGCGGGCGGGGCATTGCAACATTTACCAGTTTGAAACATATCCATATCCCTATGTTTGACATCACCTCACCTCGATGCCGATATTCAGGATTCCCTTTGTTTTTGAGGGCCCATCCCTAAGATTGTCCTCGCTTTTTGCTCGCCCATCTTAGGGATAGGGATGCGTTAGAGGCTGTTTCAACATTGCGGATACGACACGCTTCTGTTCGCGAATGCCCCGCGCGGAGCATCTCCGTGCGACCGCGTGTCCGCGGGATCGCGCCCCAGAATCCAGGCTGCGAGGGCGCAGGTACGGATACAGTGGAGGCCCATGCCAAGAAACACCTTGCTTGCCTCCAGGGTGCCCTGGGTTTCTTGGGTTTCGATGGTTCTGCGATGGAACGCGTGACGTTCCCACACCAGAAAACCTATGAACGTCCCGGGGTCTCAGGGTTGGGTCTTTTGTCGGAGGTTTCTTGTGGACGGGCCCCCACTGTACAGTCAACCCGCATAGTAAGGACGGGCAACCTTCCCAAGGGTACCATTGCATCCTTGCCTCCTCGGTGCATCCTTGGCCACTTTCGTTGGCCGCGCTCCGCTAGAAAACTTCGAAATGGGCTTCCAAGGGCCTTGCATCCTTATCGCGCATCCTTACTATACGGGTTGACTGTATGTTCGCCCGCCGTGGCGAGGCTCGCACCGCAGAGAGACGCGGAGCTGCGGAGGCTGGGCGCGCGGAAGGCCTGCGACGGGGCCGGGCGCCAGCGCGGCCAGAAGCGGGGCGCCGACGGGAGCGTCGTCCCGGAGGAGGACGGCTGCCCCGTCGAGCCCTGGGACGTGCCCTTCTACAGCCCGAGGGAGAAAGCACGGCACAAGCACAGACCTTCGGAGCTCCGCGCGGCTGTCTCGGTTCGGTGCTGGCCCTCCTCCTCCTCCTCCTCCTCCTGTTCCTCGCTCCTTCCTCCTCCTCCTCCCCCTCCTCATCCTCCGCATCCTTCTCCTCCTCCTCCTCCTCTTCCTTCCTCCTGCTCCTCGCTCCTTCCTCCTCCTCCTCCCCCTCCCCCTCCCCCTCCTCCTCCTCCTCCTCCTCCTCCTCCTCCTCCTCCTCCTCCTCCTCCGCCGCATCCCCCTGCTCCTCCCCCTCCTCCTTCTCCTCCTCGTCCTCCTCCTCCTTGTTCTCCTCCTCCTCCTCTTCCTTCTTTTCCTCCTCCTCCTCCTCCGCCTCCTTCCCAGCGCGCGGAGCGCTCCGGAGGGGCCGCCAAGGGGGCACCAGCGCCGATACCCAAAATTCGCTCGGGAGCTCAGAGCGCTTGTGTGGATGCAGTGGTTTCTTCTTCTGCTGGCGACTTGCTCAAGCGCGAGGAGCTCTGCTTCGACGACGAGAAGACCAAGGAGTTCTTCCCGCTGGTGGCCACGATCGACAAGCTGCTCGCTGTGTACTCCGAGATGCTCGGCTTCACCTTCTCGCGCAGCGCGACGCTGCCCACGTGGCACGAGGAGGTCGCCGCATTCGAGGTGCGGCGGCGCGAGGGCGGAGAGCTCGTGGGCCACATGTATCTCGTGGCCTTCGGCCCTCCTGGTGGTGGGCCTCTCGGAGCCTCCTGGAGGCGTCTTGGGGGGTCCACTGGGCCGTCTGGAGGCCATCTTGGGCATCTTGGGCGGCTACTGGGCCGAGTCGGGGCGCTGCCGGACCGTCGGAGGAGCCTCTCGGGGCCATCCTGGGCCGTCATGGGGCCCTCGTGGCTCCGGACATGTTCAGTGGGGGCCCATGCCAAGAAACACCTTACCTCCAGGGTGCCCTGGCCTTCTAGGGTTTCGATGGTTCTGCGATGGAAAGCGTGACGTTCCCATGCCACAAATCAGACGTCCTGGGGTCTCAGGGTTGGGTTTCTTGTGGAAGGTTTCCTGTGGTAGAGCCCCTGCTGTAGTGTGGCAGGTTCCAGGGGACCCCACCAGCGCGGGGGCACTGCGCGCTGCAGGCCGCAGGCCCCTTCCAAGAATCCCCAGGACCGAGGACGGAGGACTCGGAGGGACGCGAGGGCACTCCAACCCGAGCATCAGGGCACGGTGGCGGATTGTCAAGTCACTCACCCATAGGGCAACCATAAGCAAGCCGTGACCCTGAGAAGTACATCGCGACTACCAGTGACGGGGGAGGCGGAAGGAGGGAGGAGGAAGGATGAGGAGGAGAGTGAAAAAGGGAAGTGGGAAGGGCAACACAAAGGATAGGAGGAGATAAAATGCGGAGGTGGATAGAGGAGGAGGAGGCGGAGGAAAAGGATGTCCCCCTGCTGGGACGCCCCCGTGGGGCAGGAGGAACCATAGGGAGGACCGGCGCGTAAATGAGCAGGGGGAGGGCCCATCCAAACCGAGGCCGTGCAGCTCAGGTCAGCGGTGGCCGGATGTTGGACCAGCACCCTCGCGTCCGTGACAATTTAGTGGACGATGACAGATTGGTCCGTGACGGACTACCCCTCGCGCCGTCGTTCGTGGATACTCGAAGAAGAAATCAAAGCGTAAACATAAACTTTTGGCGCTGCGCGCGCATTTCTTGGATCCGCGACTGGGCCCCCCGGTTGCGCCCCTGGCGCCGCCCCTGGCGCGCTCCGCGTGCCAGGGAGGGGTGGTCCGGCGCGTATCCAAGAAATCCGCGTGGAGCGCCAAACATTTATGTTTATGTGGTTTTTGCTTCTTCTAGATACCGCCACGGGGCGGCGCTGCGTTCCCGCGTGCGCCAACATCTCAAACTTTCCTCGGCCCCAGGGGGACCGGCCAGCGCTGCTGCGCTGGGACGAGATGAAGACCGTCTTTCACGAGCTGGGGCACGTCATGCACTGCCTGTGCGCGACGACCCGGTTCAGCATGCTCTCCTGGGCGTGGCCGATGGTGCCTTGGCCAGGCGGGGTGGAGCAGGATTTCCTGGAGCTCCCCAGCATGGCCCTCGAGAAGTTCGCGAACGAGCCCGCCCTGCTGAACCGCGTCGCGCAGCACTACTCCGCTGCCCCCGAGGCTTGTCATGACCCGGCCTACTTTAGCCTGTATCGCGAGCAAGAGTTTCGAGCACCAAGAAAGTGTCGAATCTGGAGGGTTTTCACGTGTCGGGACCTGGGAGGCGGTACTCGTTGTACACCTCGCTAGTGTGTCGTCGTCACCCCCCCACGAACTACACTACATTTGCGTCGCCCCACCATGGGCGACGCGCGCACCGAGAAATCTTATAGTATATGCGTCGTGGCGGGCGCTTTCTGGCCACACCGCTCGGGAAACCATCTACTACAAGATGGGTATACTATATGTTCGGGTCGGACGCGCGCCTCCAAGGAGGACATATAGTACTAGTATGTCTTTGTGCCTCTCATGTCGGGCAGGCTCTGCTTCAGGCCTCTGCGGGGTGCTCGAAATGATGCTTGGAATGTGGTCCTTAAGTGCGATGGGAGCAACACAACCCGAGGCGCCCAGGCTTGGCGAGGACACTGTCAAGCAGATCCAGCAGTTCGACAAATGGATGGTGGGCACGTCCCAGAGCAGGCACCACTGGAGCGTGGAAACATCGACATGAATAGGGGACCCCGCGGGGAAACGACGACATAAACGACGACGGCGGCATAAACAGACGTGGAAGCTTTCGGAGCTCCGCGTAGCTTTCTCGGGTCGGCGCCTGGGCCCCCCGCGGGCGGCGCCCCCTGGCGCCGCCCCCTGACGCGCTCCGCGCGCCAGGGAGGGGGGTCCCAGCGCCGATCCAAGCAGTCCTCGCGGAGCCCCGGACGTTCATGGTGACGCAGCTCGGTCCTCCTCTGCAGAGGTACTTTGCGATGGCCCTGTTCGACCTGCTGGCGCACTCGCAGGCGCCGCCCTACGCCTTTGACGGCGAGGAGGGCCTCTCCGTGGAGCAGCTCTTCGCCAGGGTGCTGGAGAAGCACACCCGCCTGCGGCCGTTGCCCGACGTGCACCCGTGCGCCTCGTGGTACCACCTGGTGATCGGGTACGACGCGGGCTACT